CAGGTTGCTTCTCTCCTTGATTAGTTTCCATCCATTGTTTCTTGCCTTGTAAGTGCTTTGGAAAAATAAGTTGACCCTCTCTTCTTTGTGGCAGCCCCTCAAATACTGGAATACTGCTATCATGTCACCCCTAGTCCTTCTTTTCTCTAGACTGACCAATTCCTGCAATCATTCTTAATATGTTTTAGTCTCCAGGCCTTTAATCATCCTAGTTGCTCTTCTCTGCATTTTTTCCAAAGTCTCAACATCTTTTTTGTAATGTGGTGACGAAAACTGGATGCAGTATGACAGGTGTGGTCTTACTAAGGTTTTATAAAGTGGTACTTATACTTCATGTGATTTTGATTCTATGCCTCTGTTTATACAATCAAGGATTGTATTAGCTTTATTGGCTGCTCCCACACACTGCTGGCTCATGTGATTGTCCACTAGGATTCCAAGGTCCCTTTCACAGTTACTGTATTTGAGCCAAGTTTTACCTAATTTGTATTTGTGCCTTTGGTTTTTCCTGCCTAAGTGTAAAACCTTGTTTTTCTCAACATTAAATTTCATTTTGTTAGATAGGGCTCTATGTTCAAGTCTGTCAAAATTCATCTGGATCTTGAGCCTGTCTTTTGGGTATTAATTATTCCTGCTTACCAAGAAGTAGATTGTGGTCTACTTTGTCAAATGTCTTACTGAAATCTAAGTATACACTATGTCCACAGCATTTGGCTGGTCTACTAATTTAGGCACTTTGTCAAAGAATGAAATGAAATGATTCTTCAAAGTAGAGCCAAGTTCTGCTGAATTGTAAACACCGCTTTTCAGTCTATTTTCTTACCTGAAGTGTAGTTGTTAGCTTTCTTTGCTAAGAAGTCAAGAAAGTAGGGACAAGGTCTGCTTTTATGAACAACTGCAGTTCAGGACACATGAATGATCAAGTGATAAAATCACTCCTTGGCCAAAACTTCCTTGCAAGGGAAGCTTCCAATCTAAACCTCAACAAAGAACCTAGAAATGCTGCCAACTTACACACTTGTTAGAAAACCCAAATTCTTTTGCTTCTTTACAGTTCTCCAAGACAAAGAGGCTGGCAGCTATGATTTGTTGCTGGTATTGAAATTCCCAGTTCCATGTTCAGCTTTCCTTGCTGCCATGCAGCAAACAGCTACTTGCTTGCCAATGTCATTAACATAGTTGCATGTTTTGGTTTAGGAGAGAAGATGATTGAGTTTATTTTGAAACAGAATAAAAGTGGGGGCTTATAGAAAAAGGAAAATCAGTTTGTGCATAACTGAATCCACATCTCAACCTTCAGAATGGAACGTCAACTTTCTGCTCATTGTTAGCAACATGTAAATTGCTAGGTTCTATTGTGCTGTCACAACTGGACTGGCTGTTCCAGTTTTGGAGATTTTGTTGTTAGAGCTTTACAAATACTGACCTTACAAATGGTTTTGAACTTGGAGAAAACTGACTGTAGTTTTCTTCGTAAATTGATTTTTACCTCCTCTCAAGGATGTTTGAAGTTTGGAGCTTTTCTTGGCAAAGTGGGTATAGAATTTTGCTACTAATGGCCTATTTAAAAATAAAACTCTGCCATTGCCATGAGTTAGGACTTAACAACAATGTGATATTTCATGGTTCTTTCAAAGAAATGGCCAGCATGTGATTTGCAAATTGATTTTCAAAATAGATTATGCTGCTAACTTAACCTCTTGATAGTCCCAAAGATACTTTTTCAAGAGGCAACTGGACTTTCTGGGTTTTCACTTCTCATCCAAAAAGCTTCTTCAGAGCTGAGAGCTAAAGAAGCTTCTTGGATGAGAAGCAAAACATCTTCAAAGAAAAACCAGAAAGTCCAGTTGCCTCTTGAAAAAGCACTTTTGCGACAACTATGACCTTGGATGACTGAGAATCTCCATAGACATTTAACCTCTTGGTAATTTGCTGTCTGAGAGGGAAGCATTTTTTTTCTTCCTTTTCTAGTTGCTATGTGTTACCTTCTTTTTAAAGGATGAAATGTATTTGTGGTGTCTTTGCGGCCTCTGACCTGACGCCAAATCTGCCCAGCTCCTTGGTTCTCCGAGGAGCTGAGGGAGATGAAGCGCCGGAAAAGACACCTAGAGAGTAGTTGGAGGGCTAGTCGTTCTGGATCTGACCGAGCACTAGTGAGATCTTATATCAAGACCTACTTAGTGGCAATAAAAGCAGCGAACTACTTTTCCGCTCTTATCGCGTTGGCAGATAATCGCCCAGCCGCCCTGTTTAGGGTGACCCGCTCCCTCCTCCACCTGGGAGCGCGGAAAGACCCCTTGCAAGGGCGTGCTGAGGATTTTGCATATTATCTGCATGATAAAATCGCTCAAATTCGGGATGGCTTGGACTCTGACTGGGTGGGTTCAGGCGAGGTGTCTGGGCCGGGTCTTGAGAATGTTATCTGGGAGGAGTTTGATCCTGTGACTCCCGAGGACGTGGACAGGATGCTGAGGAGGTTGAACGCAACCACATGATTATTGGACCAGTGTCCCTCCTGGCTGGTGCTGGCCTCCCGGGAGGTTACACGAGGCTGGCTCCAGGGAATTATAAATGCTTCTTTGAGTGAGGGTGTCTTTCCCACCGCCCTGAAAGAAGCGGTGGTGAGGCCCCTCCTCAAGAAGCCCTCCCTGGACCCCGCTGTGTTAGCAAATTATCGTCCTGTCTCCAACCTTCGCTTTGTTGCAAAGGTTGTTGAGAGTGTGGTTGCACAACAGCTGCCTCAGTACCTGGATGAATCGACTTATCTAGATCCGTTCCAGTCGGGCTTCAGGCCCAGGTACAGCACGGAGACAGCATTGGTCGCACTGGTTGATGATCTCTGGAGGGCTCGGGACAGGGGTTGCTCCTCTGTCCTGGTCCTACTAGACCTCTCAGCGGCTTTTGATACCATCGATCATGATATCATGCTGCACCGGTTGGAAGGGTTGGGGGTGGGGGGCACTGTTCTACAGTGGTTCTCCTCCTTTCTCTCTGACCGGTCGCAGTCTGTGTTGACAGGGGGGCAGAAGTCGACCCCGAGGCCCCTTGTATGTGGGATGCCGCAAGGATCGGTCCTCTCGCCCCTTCTGTTCAACATTTATGTGAAGGCGCTGGGTAAGATCATCAGTGGTTTTGGGGTGAAGTACCATCAGTATGCTGATGATCAGCATACCCAGCTGTACATCTCTACCCCAGACCGTCCCAGTGCCTGGAGGCCGTACGGATCTGGATGGGGAGGAACAGACTCAGACTCAACCCATCCAAGACCGAGTGGCTGTGGTTTCCGACGTCCCGATATAGTCAGTTGGTGCCATCACTGACTATTGGGGGCGAGTTGTTGGCCCCCACAGATGGGGTTCGCAACTTGGGCGTCCTCCTGGATTCACGGCTGTCTTTAGAAGAGCATATGGCGGCTGTGGCCAGGAGGACTTTTTATCAGGTTCGCCTGATTCGCCAGTTGCGTCCCTTTCTGGATCGGGACTCGTTACGCACGGTCACTCACGCCCTTGTCACCTCACGCCTGGACTATTGCAATGTTCTCTACATGGGGCTCCCCTTGAAGAGCACCCGGAGGCTCCAAGTGGTCCAGAATGCAGCCGCGCGGGTGGTGACTGGAGCGACGTGGCGCTCCCATGTGACCCCCCTCCTGTGCGAGCTGCACTGGCTCCCAGTGGTCTTCCGGGTGCGCTTCAAGGTTTTGGTTACCACCTTTAGAGCGCTTCATGGCTCAGGACCAGGGTACTTACGAGACCGCCTTCTGCCACCAGTAGCCTCTCATCGACCAGTTCGCTCCCATAGAGAGGGGCTCCTCAGGGTGCCGTCGGCCAAACAATGTCGACTGGCAGCCCCCAGGGGGAGAGCCTTCTCTGTGGGGGCACCTGCCATCTGGAACGAGTTCCCCCCGGAGATACGGAGGATCCAAGACCTACGCATCTTCTGCCACGCCCTAAAAAGTTTCTATTCCAACAGGCTGGTCTGGCCTAACTCTCCCTTTTAAATTGGGTTTTAAATGTTTTTAGATAAATTGGATGCCTTAAATTGGTTTTTTGAGCCCAAATTATTTAATCTATTTTTAATAGTTTTTAACTTTTGTATGTTCTTTGTATTTTTATCTTGGCTGTTCACCGCCCTGAGTCCTTCGGGAGTAGAGCGGTATACAAATATGATAAATAAATAAATAAATAGACATTTTTCCCCACATGCGCCTAATCAATGCATAAAAATCCAATGGCAACATATTCTTTTTTTGACCATGCTTCTTTATCTCATTTCCAGGCTATCAACAAGAGAGGCTTAAGTTATCTTTAGCTATAGCAGTATTGAAGTAGTCTTATCCCTCTTATTCCAGTGCAATCCAAGGACAGACACGATATAAGAAACCTGTTAGGTTTTGGATAGAAGGGATAAGACTACTTCAATACTGCTATAGCTAAAGCAATCTCAAGCAAGACTTAAAATGGGCAAAAGAATCAGGATAGGGATCAGAAGCCAAGACAGTAAATGCTACTATAGTTTTCTTCTGATTCAAGGATAGGTAGAGAATATTTCAGTTTAACAATGGAGAAAAGCTCATCAGATGCATCTTGTCAAATATCTGATTCACGTATCAAATTAGAAGTTGCTTTGACTAAGAATTATCAATTTTACAGGAGATATTTTTGTGATAATAAAGTGTTGTTAAGAAAATAATGACAGTTTCATTTGCGTCCTGTGATGTAGTAACTTATTTATGAATTGCTATTGAGTTTAACTGATTTGATCTTCATTGTTGTCCACCTGTAAAATATGGGTTATCTAGTTAATATTTTAATCTTTTGTTTAGTCTTAGATTTCTATAGTCTTATAACTCATATGTAAAGAAAGTGGACTTGAAATAGAACTTTCAGAGGGCTAGCCATGAAAGGGTAGAGAACCAGAAAGCAATTATGTGGTTGAGATGCTAAACAAATGAATTGTGTTCTCAATTACTTTAACTAAATGTCTTTCTCCTTATTTTGCAGAATGTGCTTATTGTGGAGGTAAGTTCATATATTTGTCTGTGTCAAGGAGCAGTTTGCATGGATTTCTTATTATACTCTAATTAGAGAAATACCAGTAATTTTTGAATGGCTGGCTAAATGCCAAATAATAACAAAAATTGATAATGTAACAGAAAACACAAATAGAATATTTGTGAATCCTCTATTTAAAATTCTAGATTAAAAAAAGTTATTGGAAGAGTGGGCCTTTGCTTTTATAATAAACAAAATATCACTGAATTATTTTTAAAAAATAACAATACGTTTTATGTGTCTATTGTTAATATAATTTAAATTTTAGAATATTAATATACAGCATTTTATACTGCTTTGCTAACATTCTTTGTACATTTTACAAAGGATATCATTGGAACTGGAAGGACTATGAAAGCACTCCTTGACAGTATTAAAAAATATAAACCCAGCATGGTTAAGGTAGCAAGGTAAGTATCCATTTGTGAAAGAATATATTCAGGCTTAATTCAGTCGGGTGCCAAGTCAAAATTTCCTTAACTTTGATTTGTTTGCTAAACTCAAAAGTAGTATCAAACCACAGTATTATCAACCATTTTCCATTAATTTTGGTTAATTAATTTGTTTAGCTTTTGGTGCTAATCCAAAAGCTGAGCAACCAGTTTAGGAGAAGGAAGCAAGCATAGCCTTTCTCACTCTTTGCTCTTGGTATTAAAATATTAAGCTGTGTTTGTGAAAACTCTCTATTGGCACTGAAAGACCAACACTTGGGTCATTTTGCATAATCAAAGTTAGAAAGAAAACAAAAGACCTCATTGATTATATTTAGAAGGTGAAGAGATATGATATAATCCTTCTGTTTATTCGGAACTAAGTTAAATTATTTTTAATCAGTCTCAATTCTAAGTAAGTATTAAATAAATAATTTCTATGGTTGCACTTCCATATAAAGCATTTTTTTTCAGACAAGAATCTTAACAACATTTGGCATCTTAGTGGTGTATTAAGGACCAGAAATGGAAATCTAGGCAGTAAATTGTTATGACTAGAGCAAAAATTAAATTTGATTTAATTTTACATTTGAATATAATTAAAATCAAATAAAGTTGTTACAGCTTGCATGATTGATCTTCAGGTAGTTATCGTTTTCCATTGCATACTTTTTTAAAGAAGTTTTGGAAGCAACATCCAAGGTTTGATAGAGAGATTATTTACCACAAGTGTAACACCAACAACTTTCGATATGGGATATCTATGATGGCCTCACCGGAAATTAAGACCGGAAATTAAAGACAGAATATTGATTGAGATTTTGTCCTGATTACTTTTTCAACATCTCAAATAGCAACCAGAAATATGAAGATGCTGGCTACAAAGTCCAGTGGAGTGAAGACAGAGTAAGGCCAGAAGAACAATTAGTAGGCTAGAAACTAGGTTTCTCAAGTAGCCACCAAGGGAACTAGCTATGTTTAAGAAGAGAAGGGAAAGCATTGTAACATTGTTCACATATTGAAAAGGTGTCACACAGAGTAAGCCATTTTTGCTGTAGAATGCAGGGCATAAAATAATAGCCTTAAGTGACAAGAAGGCAGATTCCAGTCGTCCATTAGAGAAAACTTCTCAGTGCTAAAAATAGTTTGATAATAAAGCAGATTATTCCGAAAATGGTGGGTTTTCTTTGGTGATTGTCTTCATGCAGAAGCTGAATATACATTTATTTGGGATATTTTAACCTGGATCTTTGCACCAAACACAGAGCTTCTTAATTCTGCAAATCTAACTTCTGCTGTAAGGGAAAACAGAAGAACATAGTTCCAACTGTGCAATGGCCACTTAAAAGAAGTAATTAGCATTTGAAGAGGGCCACTGCTCATTCAAAGAGACATTATTATGTCTATACTTCAGCTTGAAATAAGGCAGGGTGGCTGTTCATAATATGGGTCATGGTTCACTTTAGTGAATCTTTACTTGTATGGGACAAATTATTTGAAACTTTTTTAAATCATGGAAACATTTTATTCTTCGTTTTAATTGCAGCTTGTTGGTGAAAAGAACAGCTCTACCAGATGGATTCAGGCCTGACTGTAAGTCCCCTTCTGTGAATTTCTTCATATTCAAAGATATTCGAAAAAAACTTCCATTCTTAAACTAAACAAGATTCCTACGCTTAGGATGCTCTCCAAAAATGTTATTAAGAAAAGTATTAAAACAGAAAGCTTATTGGATGAAATAAAGTTTAAAATATTTCAGATTTTCTTTCCTTTTCTGAGTCAAAATCAAGAGGATCACTTTGGGACAGCTTATGTGATCTAATTGGACACTTCTAGTCAACTCTCATATAAGGGATTAGCTGTAAAGCATTCTCCTCTAAGCCTTCATACATCAGACATAGCTGGAATTTGGCTAATAAAGATGTTTTTCAGGTTACTGAACTATGATTTAAAGAAAGAAAGAAAAATGACCTCAGTTTATCATTTTAACAATATATCCCTTTTTCTTTTTCTTCCTCTTATGTTAGATTATGGATTCGAAATTCCAGATTTATTTGTGGTGGGTTATGCCTTAGACTACAATGAGTACTTCAGAGACCTAAATGTAAGTTTCAGCATTCTCTACTTCCTGAAATAAGCTTTTTAAAAAAAAAAATAATAATAATGTACGGTAGTAATTTGCAAAGTGCTTCTTTGACAGGATGTTAACAGAAGGACAAAAGAAGAGCAGTGGGCAAATTAGTATTGGTAAAATATATGGTCTGACTGAAAACATTCAATTTTTTACATCTTCAAATACATTGACAAAATCTGTTATCTGAAATCCTGAAGAATTTGTGCTGGTCAATGCAGATATGAGACTCAGGACTCATGGAGACCTATCAAAGCCTTGAATATTGCCTCTAGAAACTCTTTTAAAACAGTAAATGTTTAATCTGGCAATAGAAGAAATTGTTACATTCTTGAAGAATAAACATATTTAACTATATATAACTGGTTTGCCCCTACCTAATTTTTTGTTGGACCCTGCTGGCATCTGGGAGGGGTCTGAGGCATGCTACTCAAAGGCCAAATGTAGCTATGCACCCCAATGTAGACAATAATAGACTAAACAAGCCAGTGACCCAATGGTATTTAACTTCCTGTACTTTGCATTTTCTAATGAATGTAGTGCAGAGTTGGTGGTATAACTAATATTTGCCTTCAGTGAATGACGATGTTAAAACTTCTGTTGTTTCAGCACTTATGTGTTATCAATAACCACGGCAAAGCAAAATACAGAGTCTAAAGAATAACTAATCATCTTTGTCTGGAACATTGGTAGTCCTCATGATCATCTCCATAAGAACAGACCAACTCATCTCATTCAGACTGGACTATATATGGCAACATCCCCGGGAATGATCACCTTGGACTTTGACACAGTTGAACTCCTTTATTTCCTTCAGACTTCCTAGGGTAACCAGGATGAGTCAAAGGCAGACATAATACAGTATTCTACTTCCATAAGAATAGAAATTAGAGGTGAAAGGAAACTTGGTTTTTAATTTTTTGCACCCAGCTTTGCCCAACCTTATCATGCCAGATTTGTTGGAGTTAAACTCCCATTGTTTTTAACCATCAAGCTTCCTTACCCTGTTTAACAAGTGCCTTTAAAAATGTGTATTAAACACAACTGCACAATGATCAGTGGGTTCTGTGGGGCTATTATAACAATTATTACATTTTAATGGTGCAGTTTGTTAGCTCTTATTTTTTTCAGGCAGTGTTGTAGTGCCTTTACTAAAGTTCTTTTTTAAAGTTTTTAATGCATAATTGTTACCATCTCCTTTTTATGATTCAATCATTGTTGAGATATTTATTCTCACCCATTATTTAAAACTCAAAGGATCAAAGACCTCAAACTAAATGACTTTTTCTTAACTCAATATCTCCTTATAGAACCCCTGAGATAAATTAGGCAGGTCAAAAATAGCTTTAGCCAATGTTTGAGTTCATAGAAAAAAACAGACTGCATTGTGATTTAAACACTGGGTTTTGTACATCATTGCTTTGTTTCAGTATTATGTGTTCACACATAATACTAAACACATAGTATTATGTGTGAACCATCTCACTATAACATGTTCAGCAAAACATAGTTTTAAATCATACCATGGCATGCAGGCAGTGAGGAGGTGCCATAATTAAGCAAACAATTATCATCTTATTCAAAGTCCAGTATTATGTACACTATAACCCTCTAGTATGCTTCAAAATTAATTTAGGATTTGAAATGATTGTAGTCCTAGTCTTACATTCTTACCCAGAGGAATTCAGAAGATGGCAATTTGTCATCTTTTATTTGTTTCAGCAGCTTCTTGCTTTCTAAGGTTGATGGGAATTGAAATCCAGTATCTGGAGGGTAGGGACAATTGCCTACGCTTCATCTGATCTTAGTGTCATGCTGTCTTTGTTCATTTCTTTGTCTTCTGCTTCTTACATCTCCACAAAATTTGTTTCAATTCCACTTTCTTTGTTTAGAGCTACAACTCCAGGGATACAAATACTAATTTGGAATCATTGGAATAATATAAGCAAGTGTATTAGCACAGTAGATCATGGAAAACAGAATTTGCATACAATAAATGTTAAAATTCATTGCATTGTTACTGCTTTTGTAAAATATATCCGCAGTGGCTAATTATGTATTGAGTTTTTCCCAAATAAGCATTGTCCAGATATATTGGGACTACAAATCCCAGAATTCATCTCAGGAATTCTAAGAACCAGGCTCTGGCAATTGGCTGGGAGTTCCAATATGGGCATCCCATTCTGGAAGGGGCTGGTAGATTAGGAGAAGATCCTATCTCCACTCTATTTAACACATTGGTCCTTTTTATCCAGTTTGTTCTTAATTTTGTTCTTTAACATTTAATGTTCAATGTTTTATGCTTTTGACCTTCTAATTGTTTTATATTGCTATTATGATACTGTAAACTGCCCAAAAGTCACTTGAGAGTCAGATGGGCAGCATATAGTTTTAATAAATAAATAATCATGCTAACACATCTAGAGATGTAAGATTAGGGAAAACCAATGTATTGAATCCTCAGCTATCCTATAATAATCATTGAAGTCATCTTTGAATTCTGGTCCAGATTATTTAATTTATAACCTTAATTTAGGTTATAGTTCAAAGCATCCCAATCAATTTATTTTTTTTATTTATTTTTTTATTTGATTTATATGCCGCCCTTCTCCGGAGACTCAGGGCGGCTTACAATGCGTTAAGCAATAGCCTTCATACTTTTGTATATTTATACAAAGTCAGCTTATTGCCCCCACAATCCGGGTCCTCAATGGTGGAACTATTGGTCCAATAATATTTGGATTGATGGGACATGCCTGTTGTTCAATTGTAAGCCTCTTGGTGCCTTCCTTTGAGCTATAATTCCTTTGTAAAGCAAATAGTTTACTGTATTTAAAAAACTATCTAGGCATTAAAAGGTATTGAACTCTTACAACACGATAACTTGTTTTCCTTTCATCTCGTCTTTGTGAATGTTTTTTTTTTCATACATTTCTTCTGCATGTAAGGCTACAAGCGTAACTTTCTTAACAGTTGATCTTATTTAACACCGTGGAACTAAAAATTTCATTTAACACAGTAGAGCTTGATTAAATATGCTGGAAAATTGTGTTTTCTGTAAATCAAAAAAAGTTTTCCCATTTTAATTGGTTGAAAACTAGCCTTTTCCTCTTCTATATTTGGTAAGAATGCTTAGGTTAGGGAGAGAAATATGACTATATTTGTTTGTAAATCTCTAGTACTAAAAACAAATTTGTAGACTGATGCTCAGAATCACCAGGTGCTGCCATATCCCGGTTCCTGAACTATTAATTTATATTTGACTCCAGCTGGTAGACTTCATATTTCAGATAAAAAAAATAGATCCTGTAAATTCAAACCCATAATTATTTTTATATTGGTGATTATAATTTCTCAATTTGTTTTAGCACAGAAAAGATAGGTTCGAGGATTAAAGCTGGCATGTCCAAACCATGCAGCCCAAGCAAGCCAAAAGGTTGGACATGCTTGGTTTTATGTTTATCTTCATAGGTAATAACAGCCAAAATTAACAGGCTTCCAATCTTTTAGCTGGAATAATACCAGAGCACTTCAGCTTTGCTTTCCAAATGGACTGCTTAGCCCATAATCTCTAACTGGGCATGATGGAAGTTGTAAACTATCCACACAGACTTAACTATGAGGAATAAGATACCTAAGACTACTAAGCACAAATATTTCTATAATAACTAATTGTAGCCAAAGGTATTCTTAAAAAGCATTTCACTTTTTAAAAATTGGATTTTCTTTTCTTGTGCTCGTTTTTCATAACCAGTTTACTGATCATTGGGTGTAAATGCTGGCTAAGATTTTTACTGATTAAATGTACTTTGTTCTGAAAAAAGGGGAATCATTTTAAAATGAAACTTAATGTGTAAAGCATTTGAAGTACAGTTGCCTTAGTGGGCTTCCTGATTTTTACACAGCCATCTCCAGGGGAAATTTGCATTTGTTACCTTTTTACCTTTGCAGGTAAAAGAAGAAAGATCATGGGCTATATACAAATGCTCCCAAAAGTTTCCTGGAGACAGCCAATGGTTAAAAAAAAAAAAAAGAATTACAAGCAAAAGATGTTTTGTTCTGAATAGCATGGGATCTATTGTGGTTAGACTGGAATTTCCACTAAATTAATAAACAGTTAGGATATTTTACTATATTGCAAATTTCTTATGATTTTTCTTTTTTCTTTTAGCCTAGATTTGCATACCAGCTTGAAGCTCTCACTTCAAGTAAATAAATGCTTTTTGGCAAAACAATGTAAATTTTTGCTCCTGGCTAGTTCAAATTTTCCTGCATCTAAGTATTAACTTGTATTTCTGCTTCCTATAAAAAAAAAAGAATAAAGCAAATAATAATAATAATTCTGGGACTTCAGATGTTTTTCAGTTTTTCAATTTTTTTCACACGTTTGGTATTTTCACAAAATGCCATTGCTATCTTGGGTTGGTTGGGTATGCATTTTTAGGCTGAAAACAGGTGGGTTTTTTAAAAGAACAAAGTTCTTTTGAAGTTATGGGAACTTATGGCTCTTCCGATTTAGCCTTGGAACCTCAGGCATCACAGCCTGTTCTATCTGGAGTGCGGTTAAAAAGAACGCATTCAATCTCAAAAGGCATGCAAAACATATTTTCGGCACATTCAGTATCAGAAGGCATGCAAAACATATTCTCAACACATAAATAATCACTTTGCCATAATCATGAGTAAAAAACAAAGAAGTCCATTCCTGGGAAATGAATGCCCTCGTATGCGCTAAACACCCACAAGAGTTTGAGCATAAGTATTTTTTCCAATGAACATGCCTAATCAATGTCAAACTTTATAACTTGTAAGCCACCCAGAGTCACTTTGTAAGAGTAACATAAAAACTAAATAATAAATAAATAAATGATTCCAGATGTAAAAGGTTTGATTCATTTTCACAACCCCATATGAATTGTCATCATATTGGTAGATAGTTTTCTGTACTTAATAAATTGGCACACCTGAAAGTGAGGGGAAGCTCAGGCAGTCCTCTACCTACCTTAAGGCATATGACTAAATTGAAAATGTTTGCCATTGTCTACTCTTTTAAAAATGCATACAATTTGTCTCCTTTTTCTGGGAATAGAGATATATTTCCTTGTCTATATCAATCATGTAGAGATATTTGGAATGATCACTTTCCACTAAACAATAAAAAAATTGTCAAGGCACAAATATAAGATAAACTAATACTTTAGTTTAATACAGATAACAATACTTAAGTTTTGTGACTTTTCTTTCATGCAGCTAGTGCTAACACTGGAGTTCCACCTGTACTGACTATTACTGATGCAACTCATTTCCAGTAGGAACTTGAGCATCATAAACTCCTATGTACAGCTGCTTGTTTACTGCAATCCTTATCAAAGGCTCTCAGGCTTGCATCATATCATACAGATTGTTGTTTGACATGAACAAGGAAAAGGGCGATAGATAGTAGTAAGACTGGTAAGGTCCCACAGAGTTGGTCTCCTCCGGGTCCCGTCAGCTAAACAGTGCCGGCTGGTAGGCCTGCGGGGGAGGGCCTTCTCTGTGGCTGCCCCAGCTCTCTGAAACCAGTTACCTCCTGAGATCCGGACCAACCCCACCCTATTGACCTTCCGAAAAGCGGTGAAGACCTGGCTTTTCTGGCAGGCCTGGGGCCGTTGATCTCACTGTTGCGATCTGGCAAGATCCGGCCATGAATGGTGTGAATGGGTTTTAATTGTTTTTAATGTTTTAATTTTTAATGTTTTTATATATGGTTTTTAAATGCATTGTAAGCCGCCTTGAGTCTTCGGAGAAAGGCGGCATACAAGTTGAACAAATAAATAAATAAATAGTATGGTAGATGAAGCATAATATGGCATATGATAGATTATTACCAAGAAGGAAAAATAGGAATAAGAAACTCTTCCTGCTCAATTGTTGTATTCTACTGAAATAGCATCTTTAGCTAAGCAAAAATCCACAACTATCTTAGAAATATCTCCAAAGCAAAACTGCACCCTTTGAACTGTGACTGCAGTGATGTTGATAAGGTACTTGGGCATCTCATAATGCAGAAGGTCCAGGTTCAACCTCAGCTTCTCCCCATATAGCAAGAAAAACTCTACTCTGAAAGCTTGAACTGCCATTACTAGTCAGTGTCAACAGTGTTACACTCCAGGAACTAATGGTCTGATTTAATATGTATGTGTGTATTTAAATAGTCTGGCTTAATATGTGTTTATTTATTTCACTGGGCTCATACTGTAAACTCTTCCAATCCCAGCTAATTCTGAGCCATGTATTCTATATTTTAACCTTCATCAATTGGGTAAAAACAAGCAATGCATATTACAGTGAGATAGAAGAACTGGAAATCCTAAAAATAACAATACATAGGAATATATATAGTGTAGTATTGGAAGTTGATCCATTCAATAAGCAAAGACAACTTCTGTTAAGACCCACAACATTTACAAAATAGGTATGTTTTTAAGAACTTTCTCAATGCAGTACCAGGAAGGATCCATCCGGATACATCTGAGAGCTACCTTGGTCTAGTGGTTAAAGCACCAGACTAAAAACCAGGATATTGTGGGCTCTAGTCCTGTCTTTCCATGAAAGCTAGCTGGGCCAGTCAACTCTTTCAGCCCTACTCATCTCACAGGTTTGTTTTTGGGAAGAAAAGAAGTACTAGGTATATTTGCCACCTTAGGTTATTTAAGTTAAAGGCAGGATTTTAAAAAAGTCCAGGGGAATGTACCATAAAAAGAAGGCAATGGTTGAGAAAACTCCCTTTCATGCTCTCTGAAAATTGCAAATCCTTAAGGAAAGGCACATGGAGTAAGTCCACACAAGGAGATCTTATTTGGGTCATAGATACTACTTGAAGAAAGTGGTCTATACAGTTCCTAAAGGCTTTCCAGATGATAACCAGCTTCCCAGATTTCTCCTAGAAGCCACTAGCTTGGGAAATTACACATACATACACACTAAGGACCGATAGTCTAGGTACTCCAAATTAATCAATCTGAATTAAGCTGCCATAAGGATACATTTTGGAGACACTCTATTTATAATTGCTAGTGTTTGTCTTCTAACAAACCCTGAAAAACATTAAAGGCAGCTGTAAAATTAGTTTGTCCAACAAGCTAGAGAAAAAAATCATACTTTAGGGGTCTTGCCTGATCTGTGCCTTTAATTAAAAATTCTGCCATCCGGATGTGCCTTTCACTGCTTTCATTTCAGCATGACAGAAGAATCGCTCCTTGAAGAAACTATTAATTCTCTCTTGAATATATTCTCATAATTGGCCCTGGATGTCATTTTCTGTTTGTGCAAAGGAGAGGGAGGGAAGCTGGAAGGAAGAGTCCTCATTCCAACTTTCCTTTAAAAAAAAAAAAAAACTGAAAAAAGCTGTCCCATTATATAAGAGGACAAAATAATGATGGAACAATAGTAATTATAATCCCTAAAAAAAACCCAACAATAAACAAAAACGAAGAAAGGTTACTCAAGAACAAATAATCAATTGTCTTGCTTTAATAGGAAAAGAAAGAACCTGTAAAAAGTAAGTTTTTAATTACCACTAGAAGCAATCAGTGTTACAATACATCCATCTAAATAAACATAGAAGAATTTTGATGTTTGGCATTGTGTTGCCCATAAATTTTTTTAAAAATTCTGCTTCCAGCTGCCTGAATAAAATTTCTTGGCATAGTCAAGGATTTTTGCTTGGAAGCAATGCCCCAGTGAACCTGGGTGAGTATATATATTTCAGTTTAATCCAGGAAGATTTCTGATTGGTTTCCAGATTAATCAAAATAGAAAGGTTTGGTGAATTTATGAACATATAACAAATAATTCCCTATACTCACAAAGATGTCCAATTTTCCCTCAGCATGGAAATGACATCTATTATTAAAATAGAATCATTAGATTTGGGTTAGCGTCTATGGAAAATGCTTGGGTAATATACACACAGACTATGGTCAGAAAATCCTGAACAAGAGATAACTAGGTATTCCAAATGATTAATCTGAATTAACTAATCTTAATCTGTACATTCTTCTGCTAAAAGCAGCAACATTCCACTGTGCTGAAAGTATTGCTGTATCAGTACCATTGATCATCAGTGTCAACTACATGTCTTTGTAATGAGAAGGAGCAATGGCATATCCTAAACAAAACCCCATGTGACATCTAGATATGGCACTTTGGACTTATCTAAATATGGAGCAGGTACCTGGCTTTATTTTCATGAAGAAGGACAGCCAATCTCCTAAACATGGTTGAGAGCGTGTGTTTTCTTTGCTGGCACTGCTATTATTTCTGAGAAAGCAGTCAGAGGGACTTTTTGCACTAAAAAGCAGAATTGTAGATATGTTGTGATATTGTCATAAAGTAAATGAGGTCCTTCACATCAAGGAAATATTATCACAATGATCTAACATGGACCCAGTTCATATTGGTCAGAAATGCCTCAAATTGAGGCAAGAAGAAGTCATTATTTCAGGCATTAAGAATAGAGGACTCTGGAAAGTTTTCACCAGAATATGCCACCTGTTCAGAACTGGTGAATGAGATGGCAGTTATAACCAGTTTTTTGAAGAACGGGAGTTTTAGTTCAGCTATCATTGCTTCAAGATGCTTTGATCCCTGTTTTTTCTCTTTTTTTCCCTATCATTCAGTTTAAGGTCAAAGCTGATCCTACTATTTTGCAGAGCTGAAGCAAGTTAGCTTGTCTAATCATTAAACTGAGCGAAGCAGCTATTTTAGGAAGCTAGCTTGGGATATCAAAAAAGAAACAAAATCTTAAAGCTGTTTGTTTGATTTAGAAACAGCATTCCCACCCTGAAGAAAGTCAGGCGCTCTAGCAATCTTTTTAAGCAATATAAAAAGTTTAACACAGAGATGAAAATTAATAATACAAAAAGTCCTAAAAGTATCGTCAAACGTTTTTCAGACCAGAAGCAAAGTTTCAACCTTAGTTTCAACTGTGCAAAAAATGTATTGAGTTGTTCTCTTAAAGCCAGTTTTGTATATGTGGGTTTGTCCCTAAAACAAGACTAAATGAAAAGCAGTACCTCCAAGATGTGGCAGCTAGATTTTGTTTATTATCTGTTCCCCACAGTACCTAAATCAAGAATGTCCAGGAAAATGTGGCATCTTCATGTGTTATCTTCAATACACTTTCAAAGTTGTTCAGTCGCCTTTGTATATTGTGCTAAACCAAAATCCAACAGATCATACTGTATCTTAGTATAGTTCAGGGGTCTGCAACCTTAAACACTCAAAGAGCCATTTAGACCAGTTTCCCACAGAAAAGAAAACACTGGGAGCCACAAAACCTGAGTGGGTGTGGGCCAAT